TAATCTGACAAACTGCAGAGTGAACTCTGAGTGACGGCTAAAATCAGCTGAAAGAGGCCGACACTGAGCTGTGAGAGCTAAAAGATGAGCACTCGCTAGTCACCACTTGCTAAAAGGATCAAAATGTTAGTTAAAATCTAAAAGTATAATAAAGCTACAAGCTAGAAACATTAAAAAGACTGATTAAAAACTAAAAATAGCAAAAGGCTGAAAAGAAACCAGAAGTATTAAAAGTTAGGCTAGAGGTTAAAGGTAGAAAAATGCTATCTAAAAGTACCAAAAATCTAGCTTGAAGCTAAAAATAGCAAAATGATTGTTAGAAGCTAAGAGTAGCAAGGCTAGGAAAAGCTTTAAAGTAGCAAAACTCTAGCTAGAAATTAAAAATAGCAAAAGACTGACTAAAAGCTAAAAGCATAAAAAGGCTAACTAAAACCAAAAGATAGCAAAAGGCAGGCTAAACGCTAAAAGTAGCAAAAGACTGGCTAGAGGTTAAAACAGCAAAAGGTCACTTAAAAGTACAGAAAGGCTAGCTAAAAGCTAAAAAACTGTATCATAAAGGCTGCTTCGAAACTAAAAACAGGAAAATGGTCTGAAAAAAAGACTAGCTAAATACAGAAGAATGATAGCTTGGTGCGTTTATCAAAAGTCTAGCTAAAAAGGTAAAAGTAGCAGAAAGATTGCTAAAAGCGACAAGCAGCAGAGATTTAGCTAAAAGAAGCTGCATGCTAGCAAAAGCTAAGTAGCAGAATAGTAGCAAAAAAGCAGTAAAGGCTAGCTAAAAGTAGCAGAATTGTAGCTAAAAGTAGCAGAATTGTAGCTAAAAGTAGCAGCACGACTTGTTCAAATTACAAAAATGATATCAAAACTTCTAAAATTGTAGCTAAAATAAATTCTGCTGGCATTACTGTCCTTGTTGACATTAACCCTATTTGTCTGTTAGCATAATAGCTATGGTCTTTCTGCAGTTAAGTTACAGCAAGTCAAGATGCCTGCTGCAACAAATGCACCTCTTCCTGCACAAATAYGTCTGCATCTCAGGGAGTTTTACAGACCGTGAGCTACAATCTGGCCTGGTGATTTCTGAGAACGGTTCATTTATAATGTGTTTAAACACCATAACTTCTCAACGTTCCATTATTTTCATTTAAAGGCTTTTAATCTTATTTATGTAACTGAACAGTTTCCTTGAAAGGACTGCACGTCACAACTGTGAGCATCCTTCCTCTAATTAGATTAGAATAGATTAAAATTTAATAATCTCCTTTGGGTGCACGTGTCATCAGAGTGACACGCTCGTTCAGGATTAGCGGAGACGTGCGTGGAAGCAGCGCTGTCACTCTCCGACGACCCGTCCGCGGGTCCGAGCGACGCTCRGAGAGCTGTCGCTCACAGACACGACGTCATTTGTTCGCTCACAGACGCCTGTCACCGGGAGACGTCAGTCATTCTCGTTAATTCCTTTCATTTTCCTGTAAAAAGCCTCCGGTTTGCTGCCGCCGGATCGGCGTGCGACGAGCCGCCGGGCGCTCCTCCTGCACGGGTCAAAGGTCAAAGCGCTGCGGCCCGGACGCAGCGACCGCAGAGCCTCGGGCAGACGGCGATCTGTCACAGAGCCTCGTCTCGCCGCCGCGGCTGCCTGCCTCGCAGCGAGACGACAGCAGGACTTCAACAGGCAGAGTTATTTGTCACAAAACAAATCGCTACAAATCTGCGAGACAAACACGCAATAAGCACACCCACCATGTTTTTAATCCCTCATTTTTCTGTCTTTTGTTTCGATAATCGAAATTAATAAGTGAACGGGGAGCGCGGTTTGTTTCATTCTTAATGAAGCGTGTACCGGATGAATATTTCACACACCTGCTGTGTGTCTTCGGTGGGTTCTGACTTGGGACTCGGTCCCAGCTCGGGGAAGCATGMATGTCGGATTAAACATTCATCAAATGCTGTCACGAAAAACTTTATCCTCTCCTGTCAACCRCTCATAAAGATGGAAGCACTTCTCGCAGGGCCAAAGAAGCCCAGTCAGGGTTTTGAACCTGAGCCTTTGGAGCAGTGGTGGAATTATTTAGGCTGTTCTGGACTCATGTCTGCAGRTGCACAGGTTATGTAGTGTGGGTTTATGGATATGGACGGGGTCAGCCYGGGTCAATCCTTTGCATCTCTAAAATCCCCCTCCTGTCTTGTTATTGCCTCCAGGTTCCTCCTCAGCCTTTCAACCCTCAGCAGACCTCATCCTCTGCAGTTTTCTGCCTGCGAGTGTCGGTGCAGCCCCGCTCGCATGTTTCTAGCAGAGAAGCCCTCAGGGACGTTTTGATGCATGCTTCACCGTGCTCGTTTTAATCATTCAGCTCCTCAGACGCCTCCCAGGAGGTGGCTGCTGCAGCACGTTACCGAGTACACACAATTAGTGATATAATCATGATGACGATAATGAAATGTATTTAGAGCACATCAGCGCAGGTTCACTGTTGTTTAGGGAGGCATTAACGGGACCGCAGACCCCCCCGGTGCTCGGGATTCCGCCACGCTCCCTCGGCGCCCGGTGGGTCGCCACGTCGGAGACTGGCGGTCTGCGCCTTCGACTGCAAACGCCTCACCTGTCAGGTGCTGCTCTCCATCACTCCKGCGCCGAGGCGACAGGGTGAGAGGGAGGAAAGGAAGCGGCGGGGATGTTGACACGTCGTCATCGTCCGCCGCCGTTTTCTTCCCAGAGCGCCGTGACCGGATCGAGCAGCGCTGCACTGAGGGTGACCTCACTAATTATCACTCCTGTTTCCTTATTCCAACAAAATCCAAGGAACGCTGCGGACGTCAAACTTCATTAAAATACCTGATTTTTTCCCATTGACCCCTTAAAGGCATCCACAATCAGCTGTAACATTAGACTTTATTTAATAAACATTTATTCTAAATGTAAAATAAAGACTGCAAAAATACTGTAGGCTGTTTAGCTTTTATAAATCTTAAACTAAATTTTTAAAAATATATTTTTACACGGATGGGGCCATTTTATTTACACGCAAAGCATTCTGGGTAAACGATGACGTGGGTAGGTCCTCGGTGCGAGGCTGTTAGCGAGCTATATCCACCCTGAAGGTTAATCTTGGACAATATCTGATGATCGACTCTTTTAAAGAGTAACTTACCCCAAAATTAACATTTTTTAGCTGATAAACTGTCTAGAATGTGTCTAAAATGTTATATAGTACCGTTTCTGGGCTAATTTTGATGTTTTTGTGCGTATTTGTTCAAATCTGTAAAATTTGGTCTAAAAACGTGTTTTTGCTGYTCATATGGGTAGAGCAGTGGTACTGCAGGCTAATTTGCATATTGGTTAACGGCTCTCC